GAGACATTTGCCCTTAGTGGAGTTTGCCTACAACAATAGCTTCCAATCGAGTATTGGCATGGCACCATTTGAGGCCTTGTATAGCCAATCGTGTAGATCCCCTGTGTGTTGGGCAGAGGTGGGTGATGCACCTATGTTGGGTCTAGAGTTGGTCTAGGAAACGACGGAGAAAGTTGTATTTATCTGTAAGAGGTTGGTTACGGCCCAGAGTCGCGAGAAAAGTTATGCTGATCGTAGGAGGAGACCCTTGTCCTTTGAGGTGGAATATCACGTCTTCTTGAAGATATCACTTAGGAGGGGTTTGATGAGGTTTAGAAAGAGTGGAAAGTTGTTTCCTTGATTCATTAGGCCTTTTGAGATCCTTTAGTGGATTGGAAAGATAGCTTATTATTTGGCTTTGCCGCCACAACTTTCAAAGGTTCATTATGTGTTTCATATTAGCATGCTTTGGAAGTATGAGCTGGATCCATCGCACGTGTTGGATTGGACCGACTTAGAAGTAGATGAGGATGCCTCGTATGAGAGTCTTGGATACCCGAGACCAAGTCTTGCGAGGAAAGACAATTCTCTTGGTTAAGGTATTGTGGAAACATCACAGGATTGAGGAAGCAACTTGGGAATGTGAGCTGGAAGTCCGTGAGAAGTATCCGGACTTGTTTGTTAATGTTTGAACATTTATTGTATTGTTGTTATGTTTTGGAAATATGAAAACATTGTATATGTTGTTTATGTTTCGAAAATGCGAGTTTACTATAAACATTGTATATGTTTTGGAAATATGAATTGTGTATCCAGTATTGAGAATTTGTTTATCACGTTGATAAGATTGAATGACCGGAAAATAGGTCATGGTGATGGAATCAAATGATTATCATTATGGTTGTACTTGGTTTTAATTTAGTTTTAAAACTTGATTTGAAATTTCAGGGATGAAATTCCTTAAGGGGGGAGATTATAGCGATTCTAGTTTAGACCCGACCCATCTTGCATTCTGGGCTCGGGTTTCATGATTCTATATTATTGATCCTATCTTTTCCCCTTATTTTTCATTGAGTTTGAGTATTGGAATGTCTTGGGAGTATTTGGAACAGATTGGTTGCTAGTTGGTTCAAACTGTTGTTGCCCAGAATTTGGCCTCTTCGCTCAAACGAAGCTTCTTGTGCTCGGGCGAGCTTTCTGAGATCTCAGTATTTTTGTAGGCCTACAGAGATACTAGGAAGGTAGTGTTCTTCGCTCAAGTAAGGCTTTTTGCGCTCGAGCGAGCCTTAGGTGTTTGTCTTTTCACTCGAGTGAGCATTCTTGCGCTCGAGCGTGCATCTACGTCTCTGTAAGACCTGAAGGTTGGTATTCTTCACTCGAGCGAGCCCTGTGTTATGTCTTCTTTCACTCGAGTGAGAATTCTTGCGCTCGACGGTGCTTCTGCGTTGCAGACCTGAAGCTTTGCCTTGTTCGCTCGAGCAACGCTTCTTGCGCTCGAGCGAGGTTCTTTTGTGTCTAGTCGCTCGAGCGACAACTCTTTCGCTCGAGCGAGCCTCGCATATATCAGTTTGCAGTAGCATGATTTTATATCACTTTTTGATCTCTTCTTCACTCCAAACCCTAATCCGGTTGTCTCTCTCTCTACCCTAGTCCCTTTGTTAAAAATGTAGAGCATCGTGGGGGCTTCATTTTGATTCGAAGAAATTCAAGTTTGGAGCATCTTCAAGTTTCACTCTTCTTCTCTTTGAGCTTCTCCATTTGAGGTAGGGATAATCTACTCTTTAATATGAGTTTTGACCTAAATATTAGTCATTTTGTATAAATGGTTGGTTTTGGAAAGTTTGGGTGAAGTTAGGGTTTGAGTTTGAGATTGTGTTAGAGGGGTTTTCTACCTTGGGCTCCATATATGTATGAGAGGTCTTGAAAATGAGAATATATGTGTAAAAAGGGTGAAATTTGGCCTAGGGCGTAATATTTGAGAAAGGGGGAAAAATTTCCTAAGTTGAATTAAATAAATTATTTGTATGAATAATGAAATCAATGTTGGAAATATGAAATTGGGTTGGAAATTATGAAATTGGGAAAAATTATGATTAAATGGTGTAGTTGGATTGATAAATCACTCACCTATGGAAAAGTTGATAAACTATCTGTTTGATACATTTATTTATCTGTTTAGAAATAACTGTTTTGGGCTATCAGTGGAGGATAGCCATGATTGTTGTAGAAACTGCATGATGATTAGGTAAATTGAAACTAATCAATCAGATTATGGCATTGAATATAACAGTTGGATTAAAACATTGAATATGTGGTTTAATTGGTCATTGTATATGACAACGTGTTTAAATACATTGTATATGTACCTTTGTTTGGAAGGAGATAAGGGATGTACTCCATTGTTTGGGAGGAGATAGGAGATGGACTCCATTGATAATTAAGTTGGCCGGAGTGTCCAGGGTGAAAGTCCCGAAATCTTATATATATTTGGGTACCGGTTCCCTCGGACGTAGTTCCGTAAAATGGCAAGAAATAGAAGTGTGTGATTAATGTTTATGATTGAAGTGTTGGTAAATGAGTTGTAGTCTTATTTTGAATTGTTTAAGATGATGATGAATTTTGTCAATGAATTGATTTGGATAAGTAAATGCAAGTGTATAGAAATATGGATGTTAATGTTGATTAGTTATGGAAAGGGGTGTAAGTTGGTTTACATGTGTTAAACATTTATTAGATGCTAATGTTTTAGTTAATTCTCATATACTGTTTAGTATATCTCTACCGGGTTTTGGCTCACTCTACTTGGGACACCATTTTTTTTCAGGTACAGGGGACATGCCGCCTTTAAGGTCTTAGTTTGGGAGGTTTAGGAATTGAAGACTCCCTTTCTGTTATTTTGTTTTGATGTTAAATGTATATCCAAGCCAAGGGCTTTCTATGTATAGAGCTAGGACTCTCTTTTGTTGTAACCAAGTTTTCACTTGGAAAGATGTAAGCCCGTAGGGCACAGATTTTGTCATAAACATTTGGAATTTACATGAAATACCTTTTGTAATATTAACTCTGATGAATGGAAATGTAACTTATCTATCATATCCATAGATCTATTGCATGATTGGATTAGGTATTATTTTGAGGGCGTTACATTAAATGTGAAAAACATTATGAGTATTCGAAAATATTAAATTTATTCATAAATATTAAATTTTCAAATTGTAGAAGAACTATTTGATTAAGTATAAAATTTTGTAATACACATTTTCAATCAAGTACACAATAAAAAACTTAGGCCTATGTGCTACAGTTAAATGTTTTTGCATACATATTTAGTTTAATTTATTTGCTTAGTATGTTAGTTGTAAATTTTTTTTAATATAAAACAATTACAATATATAAATAATTAAAAATTAAAAATGATCTATTACAAATAAAAAATGATCTATTTAAAGAATTAAAAATTAACAATTACAATTTAGTTTAACATGGGGTCATTTGCATTACAAGCTAAAAATTCACATGAGCTGTCCAATTACAATTTCAGAATTAAAAAGCGCAACCATTTTATAATTTCACAATTCACGAAACTTATGTAAGCATTACATAGTCTTCATCGACCAAGCCGCATCGGACATGTTTGCCTGTCATGACCTGTCTGTTGGCACTCACTGCAACAAGCGGTCAAACGCCTATCTGATATATCCATCTCATTCGGAATACGGGACATAGATTTACGATCCTGTTTTACTTCTCGCAGACGAAGTACATTAGGCATTAAGGTCCACTGCGGATCATCCCAACAATCTTGATGCGGTATTGGGTTGAATTTAGTTTTCCAAACCCTCATGTATACAGGAAGCCTATATACTGGATCAACGTACTCGAATGGATTGTCACTGCATTCAGACATAACAGCGAGCATATGGAAACATGGATAGTGTCTTATCTCGTATTTGCCACAACTGCACATGGGTTCATTCATGCGCACAATCTGTGTATTGCGACCTCGTCCATGGTGAAAAGATGTTTGCACCTCAAATACGCGGCGGGGCCTATCAGACAATATTGATACAAAATAATCAAGTTCATGTTTTTAGGTATAATTAACTTCAAAACATAATAATAACAATTTAGTTTACATTACAAACTAACCTGTCGTACGATATCAACTGGAAAGTATTTCCCCTTGCAATGCCCTCCTCGATAGTTTTTTGCATCTTTCTAGGGTATTGGAACTCATTCCGTACATCTATTTATGCTTGGGCTCCCATCTCATCAAAATATTTTACAAACTGTCGAAATGTAAACTCAACCATAGCTGAGATAGGTAAGTTCCTTACACCTTTCAAGACACTGTTGAAGCACTTTGCGTCATTGCTGGTCAATACCCCCCACCGATATCCACCGTCATACGCAAGGGCCCACTCTACAGGATTCATCTTGCAGACCTAATAGATGGCATCTTGGTTAATAGCTTGTATCTGTTCCAAGTAAGCATTACACTTTCGTCGTTGATGAGCACTCCCTACTTTCCATAGAAGTTGTTTCAGCTCCTTATTTTTAAACTTTGTGTTAAAATTACTACAAACATGTCGAAGGCAGTGCCGATGATATCCAACAAATTGACGCAAGGGATTCAGCCAATGCCACCTCACAGCAGCTAAAATACTCTCAGTTCGATCAGATATCAAAGTCACTTTCTGTCGATCCATGACAATATGTTCCTTGATATTTGAAATGAAGAACGATCAAGACTCCAAACTCTCCTTGTCGACAACAGCGAATGCAAGCGGTAATACTTTGCCATTGGCAGTGACGATCGTTGCTACAAGCAATACACTAGTATATTTTCCATATAAGAATGTACCATCTATGGTTATAACAGGCCTACAATAGCTAAATCCATTGATGACGGGCTTGAAAAACCAGAAAACAAAGTGGAAGACGGACATAATGGTTGTACCTCTGGTATATCTATGCTTCCATTGAACGATGGTGCCAAGATTAGATGTCTGTAATGCATGCATGAATTTAGGCAACTGCCTATATGATTCATCCCAATCCCTGAATACCATTCTAATTGCCTTTGCCCTTCCATGCCATGCTTTCTTGTATGATATACTGTAGTTCATGGTCTTTTTGATATCTTCGATGACATTCTTAATTGGCATATCAGGTTCATTCTGTATACGACAATCAAATATGAGTTGGATTATTTGGGTGTGAACACTATAAACAAACCCTCATGTATATATATATATATATAAATTTATTTTTTATACTCACCCCAACTTGTCCCAAAAGATAAGAAGCAATGTAACTGGAGCTAATATTAGTGTGGTCCCTGTTCTGTCGTGGGTGGTGAGGACCCCTGTACTGCTTTATTTCAAAAAGACCATGTTTCCTACAAAGAGATGCACGTAACCACCAACTATAATCGTGCTTGCAAGCAGACACCCAAAGGTCTCATTTGGAGGTTACGACCTTATACTCTCGATTATTTGTTGCATGGTACAATTTCACAGCATATACAAGTTGCTTCTTATCAACGAAAACCATCCCTTTGTCCAACTTTGGACTTTTAACATTCCAGATCCGGTTATGGGGAACGACATCACGGCTACTTATGTCAAAATCACCACCCATGTGAATATTGTCATAGAAAGGGATTTCAGGTCTAGGTGGAATGGGGACATTTTTAGGGTCAACGGGGCCGTCAGCATCATCTTTTTCATCATCATCATCTGATCCAGCCAATAAATTTTCTTCATCACACATTTCATTCTCATCATCATCTTGGGCGATATCAGGACCGTACATGTCATTGTCAACAAACTGCACATAGTTCAGCGTTTCCGCCATATTACCAACAACTTCAACTGGAGTGGTATGATGGCTGCAGGTGGGCACATCTTCTGTGTTATTGTGAAATTCATAATCATATCCACCACGTGAACTTGGTTCCACACCATGGCCCTCAAATGTCTGTTGTGTGTAGGCCACTGAATAACATTGATCTAGTGCATACATAGGAGACCGAAATGCTGTCATGTTAATCCCCTGCGTAAGCAATGTAGTAAAGGGACGAGAATCCATCTGTGTCATATTCGGGACATTGTGTACAACCTCTTTATCAATGTACACTTCCAAATAATTTGGTGGTTGGAAACTTACACCGATACTTAGTACAATTTGGTGGTTGGAAACTTGCATCGATACTTAATACGATGTTCAACGTCTCATCGTCATTGATCGGTAATATCTTGTATTTGTTGATTGCTTGCCACTGGCGATAAGGATTTCTACATTTGAAGTTTAATCGGACACTTTTGCCGTAACATGCCACCTTGGACATGAACATCTCCTCCAAATTGCTAAGCATGGTGCCAAGTTGCACCCCATATAGCCCTTTCGGCTCAGCATCATATGACACACCTTCATCGGGATCCCAAATTATGTTTTCCCCCAGTAGAAGATAATTGGAACAGTCTCTAAATACTTGCTTCAATGAAACAAAAAATATTAAAATATCAACAATATACTCATATCAGATTTTACTTCTAAAAGAATAATATGAATTTTAACTCATGCAATGACAATTACTTGTGAGGCAAGAACTTTATTTAAGTAATTAGAAATTGTAATCCAACAATCATTATTGATTTTTTAATTAAAATATGAGTTAAAATAATTATTATGTTTTGGATTTTTTAGCTTTTTAAGAAAAAAGCTTACAACACATAAAGAATGTTGGTTTGTTTTGACATAATTGTCTATGGAACTCTGTGTTCTGCTTTTTTCATTATTTATTACCATTAACATCATGCTCTTGTGCACGGTAAGTGTAAATTTTTCTTTTTCCATATTTCTTCTTCTTTGTTTTGGTAATATTTCAGTGTTGATTTGATTTTTTTAAATTAACCTGCTATTATTTTTGTGTTGGTTATTTGAATTTGTTTAGGTAGACACTTGGTGGAGAGAAGTTGTGCGAGTCAAAAGACAATTTATATTTTCCTATAAGTGACATTTATATCATAAGTGACATTTTCCTATAAAAATCAGCCCTCTCATTTTTGTCAATTTATATTTTCCAGGGTAGAAGGAACTCTAGGGGTGAAACATTGCTTCAACACCACTAAACATTACTTCAATTTATATTTTCTCCCATTTTTATTTTTCTTTCTATTTGTTTATTATTGTTTATTTTCTCATTTTTGTTCACTTATTTTTATTCATATAAAACAACGGCTGAGGTTTCATCTCTACGTGGAGTTTTTTTTGGGTGATGCACCAATAAATCCCAAATTAATAACTTATACACTGTTTAGTCCTAAAAGTTTTCTTATAGACTGAAAGGTCCCATTATAGGGAAATTGACCATAGAGGGCATATACATCAAACATCATCATCGTCAAAACAACATCATTATCAAAACAACATCAAACATCATCATCAAAACAATATCAAACATCACAAACATAATCATCAAAACAACATAAAACATCATCAACATTATCATCATCAACATCAAACGTCATCACATCATCAACAACACAACATCACAGCATCAAACATCACAACAACATCAAACGTCATCATCATCAAAAACAACACACATCATCGCCATCTAGAAATTCCCAAAGCGCCTCCAGTTTCCTCATCCTCACTATCATTCGCATCAACTGAATTCGTATTAGTCCTCGTCGATGCATCCACATCTCGGAATCTGATCGTCCTGTTCCTCCTCTGATACTCCAACCACACCAGAACCACATGCACCAAGCACTGCAGCGAGTAACCGCAGATCCAAACCCTAATCGACACATTAGGCCTCTCCTCCACTGTGCAAATCAACATCACCACCGATACCACAATGAACACTAGGTTCCACACCATGTCCAGCGCCACCATCGGCTTCGAGTACCTCCAGTCGGCGAGACGCTCATCCAGCTGTCGTGCCGCCGTCTCTCGAACCAGCATCGAGGCTTCCCTTCGGCCCGTCACACGCCCTAGTAGTGCCGCCAGCGTCATCGGTTGTGTCGTCGCCGCCGCCGCCGCAGAGTCCTGACGGTGCGTAGAAGAAGAATCATGGATCTATCAGTTGGGGAGTAGATTAGGGCTCGTATTGATAGGGTCAGGGTTGAAGTTGTTGAAACGAGGCTTGTTGATGGAACTGTTGGTGTATTTCCTCATATAAACCTTGTTGTTTTGATGATGACGACGACGTTTGATGATGATGATGATGATGATGTTTGATGATGCTGTTGTGATGTTTGATGTTGTTTTGATGTTGTGATTGTAAACCTAGCTTAAATTATTGCGTTCTCCCTAGTTGTTTTGATGATGATGTTTGATGTCATTAAATGGGACTAAATGGTGCATAAGAAAACTTTTAGGACTAAATGGTTCAACTTTTCAGAAAATAAGATTTATGGGTAAATTTTCCTTTTTTTTACTCCCTATGTGGAGACTCATATTTTTTCTGCGTGAAGGTTCTTTTTCTCCATTTAGGATTTATTTTATATTTTGTACTCAGATTTATTTTATTAGATGAGTTATTGTTAGATGTATAATATATTAAATCTTGTGTTTTCTCATAAAAAAAACAAATATAAAAATAAACAATTAAGAGTTGTACTAAAATTTAAATTTCATATTGCAATTTTGACACAAATAGACAAGCAATGTATTCTATTATATAAATGAAGAATGTCACATTTAAAAATAAAAGCAAAAAAAGAACGCTCCCTGCATACAATCACTATCACGTTTAATATTTGCTTAAGGATTTATCAAAAACTATCTACAAATTTAAATATAAAATTATAAATTCATAACATTTGCACCTACTTCTGAGTTACATGAATTAGATATATTTTACATTCGTTAGAAAACTGGTATACTACCCAAAAAAAAACTATCTTTTTGTCCACTTCAAGAACTTTTATGGTAAGAGCTCATCATAGGTCACGTAGAAGAAAAATCTCAATCCAATCCATAGGAACACACCACACTATTCAAATATAATAACTTAATTGAGTTTTGAATAGAGATGGTAATTTTTCCCAATATCACTTCAATGAGAAAATAGAGTGGGGACCGGGAAATTATATTTTCATACACTTAATTGATTTAGTACACATCTTTTTTTTTTACATTTTATACTCAGTTCAAAATTAAAATATTCTTAATAAGCCTCACTCAAATGGAGTCCAACTCCAAAAGGTCCAAAATTATTATTTTTAATTTAGCTAGCAACCAAACCAAAAAAGTAAAATAAAAAAGAGTAATGTTTAATTAGTAATTTTGCAATTTATTATATTATCCATTGAAAAGGATATAATAGAAGAGTAATTTTGCAATTAAAAATTAAAAAGATTAATGTTTAATTAGTAATTTTGCAAGTTTAATTCGTAACTTTGCAATTAAAAATATAAGAAGAGTAACATTTAGGTGAAATTTTGTTGCATTTAAATTATTGTTTTCAAATAATTTTATATTTTTAAAAATTGTGTATTGAATTTTGGTAAACTATGAAGTAACATTTAACAAAATATATGTATTGATATTACCAATATGATCATATTTATCAATCAATATCCGACAATGTCAGTTAATATATTGATAAATAACGGTATTCAAAGTGTAAAATCTAAAATCTCGACACTAAATGGGTTAAATAACGACTGATAATTCAAACCCTAATTGTGCTAGCGATTTATATCTATAATTATAGATTATTTCCACTTGGAAAGGCCGAAACATGGACATCACTTACTCCCAAAATTTTCCCAACTTTTGTTCGATACAAACAAAAAATGCGAAGCAAAGAAAAACAAAGGTGTCATTGATGGAGGGAGATAAATTTTTGAAAAATAATAATAAAAAAAGGATTGTTTGTAACGTTAATTGATTTGGAATACCGAACACATTAACCATCGAACAAAACGTTGACTGATTACGTAGTTTCAAATGTTTTTTATTGAATATGAATACGTGGGTTTAGGATGGTGATGAAAAAGAATATGATTAGAGTTTAAATTGATAAGGAATATATGTCGATGGGGATGGAGATGGGTGTATAATATTGTATAGTGTCATTGTAATTGTTTTCATTTGGTGAGAGGGTGTTCCATTTAAAATTGTCATTTAATGTAATTTTACCTCAGCATATAATTATAAAAAAATAAATGAGTGAGAATTGAAGGATCCAAAGAAATTAGGTAGATGCTAATAACAACACTCATTTTTAAACTTCGTAAATTATTTTGTATATGTATTAAGTAATATTGTGTATTAAGAGTATTAATGATGTATAAATAAAATCACCCAATTTAAAATTCTAATAATTTTCTAGTATATTTTCTGTTACCTTAACTTTTCCATTTAGTTTAGTTGAGACATCTTGCCACAAGTAGGTATTTTCTTATGGCCTAAGTGGTTGTGGTTGGATAGTATGAGTTTAACACACATGTCGACATGGCTGCGAAATGTTTTCTAATCTTGATGAGGTAGACATGTATATTAATATTTTTTTTTTGATAATGAACTACAATATTATTTTCTACTAACATAAGAAGTAAAAAAGTAATATAAAAAACATATAAAGAGTTTTTTGAAATCTTATGAGTAGGACAATTGCCTCTCCTACTCCACTCTAGGTCCATTATTGCTTCCTTGATCGTTATTGATATACGCTTCATGTACTATGTACAATTTTAAGATCACCTCAATAAGGAAATATTAAATATTGTGTAACATGTGCAAATTATGTCATTTGTAAATTTCATCATTATAAATGACATAATTTTTTGTGGGAGTCCTAATTAAAAATAAAATTTGAATTATAACCGAATATCAAATCAAGCATAACTAAACAACTCTTAGATCATAATCAAAATAATGTCATAATTGACATCACAATATGTTATATCACAATATGTCATAATTCAACTAACTTTTTGTTCTGAAGATCTTTTATTAATTTTGGATAAATTTTACAAGAGAATTATAATTTTTTATGATAAAAATTATAATTATTAAAAGTGCATTATGCTATTCTGTGATAAAAATACAATGACGAATCTCTGGTGTGTGATAAAACAAATATAATTTATTTGAAACCCACTGGCCACTTCATACTAAACAGTCTAAAACTTTATTGCAAGTGATAAGGAGGACGATTAAGGAATCAAGCAAAAGATAACAGGTTATCAAGTTAAAAATTTATTAAAAGTGCCAACCTACACAAATATTAATTCTATGATATAAATCTAGAATTTGTTAAAAATAGCCACACAAAACAATAATAATAATAATAATAATAATAATAATAATAATAATAATAATAATAATAATAATAATAATGAATGTGAATTGGAAATACATTTATTTTTTTAGGAGCTTCAAACCATGTCAATTTCTGAATCTTTTGAGTTATTAAATCAAAGCTCTAAACTCTTTGACCAAACAGACACAATTTATCCAAAAATACAACTATCTATTGCAACTTACCGGTTGAAATCAACCTATCTCTTACCAAACTAACTATGTGTTAAAATGTGATAAATGCCACTCATTTAACACCATATTTCTTGAATATAATACATTTTTCTACCTCACCATCACCACTTGCCACCGCTAACTTTTCTGGCAACTTTTTCAACATCATCAACAATTTTCACCTTGTCTTTTTTACCAAACAAGATTTTACCTTGGATCTAATACTTTATACCCCTTTGAAATAAACTTTTCACCAATTGTCTCTACTCTTTAAGGATGAAATTAGACATTTGGTAATGAATTACTATCCTGTCAAGACCAAAATTTTATTTTAAAAAAGGTATACCATTTAGCATGAAATTATTTGGGTCTTAAAAATACATTTATTAGTGGCATTTTCAAAATTTAGTCACTAATGTTGTTTTTGGTTGAGGAATTTGGAAAGGAACTTGGAAAGAAAAAGAAAAAGAGTAATGGTAAAGACCCCAAAATTTTATCTTTTCTCTATTCCTTTTCAAATCTCTTCTCCAATCTCCTAACAAAATACAGCTTAAGAACTTTTTTATATTTCCTTTTACGTTTCGTGCCTACTCACATGATGAGTGAAATTGGACTGTGATTGTATTTTGCAAAAAAACCTTTACTTTTGATAGTGAAAAAGTTTAGTTCCTTAGTGATCAGTTGTATTTTTGTTTTTCAAATTTTTTTTTTTTGACATTTTTTGGTTTATGTTATTATAACATAATGAAGAACAAATGGGGACCACTGCGAAAGTTTACAATGCCAAATGCCACTATTATATAGTTTTTATTTATTTTTATGCCATAGCGTTACGTAAAGTCTCATATGGTTATGGATTTTATATGTTAATGGGTGCATGCATTTGTACACTGAATATGTGTTTGTTGGTCCCTCTTTACGCATCAATTGTTTTATCTTCATTACCCATTATGGATATGGATATAAATATGAATGGAAAGTGTTAAAAAAAAAATTTCCAAATATTATTTTAATATTTAATGTAGTAGTGGCTTTTTGATCACAATCTAATAAAAAGCAAACCACAATGGACTATGATGCAAATTAACAACTATACTTTGTATAATAATTACAAAAATCATTTGGTGCGTTAAGAATTTCAACGTAATTTATGATACAATAACATGATCATTTTTGTTCTTATTTTTTCTAAAAAGTTTGTGAAATGTTACACTGTGTTATTGAGTGACATATAATCACATTGTGTTTTCAGAATACTAAATAATTTCTCGTATACTATAGCAAGAGCATCTCCATAAGATTAATTAAACTTTTAGTTATATTTTAACTTAAGAGTTACTTTTTTTTTGTATTTATTTTAGCTAGTCATTTTAGGAAACAATAAAAAGTTCTTTCCTAATTTTAAAAATTGTTTTTGCACTAAAATAATCACATTGTGTTTTCAGAATACTAAATAATTTCTCGTATACTATAGCAAGAGCATCTCCATAAGATTAATTAAACTTTTAGTTATATTTTTAACTTAAGAGTTACTTTTTTTTAGTATTTATTTTAGCTAGTCATTTTAGGAAACAATAAAAAGTTATTTCCTAATTTTAAAAATTGTTTTTGCACTAAAATGGAAATTATATACGTGTGTCAACCTTTCTTTAATTTTGAATAATAACAATAATAATAATACCAATACCAAATAAATCAAATATACATATAGATACGGATATGAAACCCTAACCCTAGAATTGTCAAACAAATTCAAACAAAAACTTTGGGTTAGAACATTTTCACAATTCAAAACCCTAATTTCTGAAACCCTAATCCTAATATCTGATTTCACATTCAATTGAAAACCCTAGAACATTTTCACAATTCAAAACCACAATTTCAATTCACAAAGCTTATTCTACCCACATTGATATCAATTTCAATTCACAACATTTTCACATTCACAAACCCTATTCTACCCACATTGTACCCACATTCACATTTTCACAAACACAATAAACACATATAAAATTCAAACTGAGAGAGAGAGAGACAAACAGTCATACTAGCGAGAGAGAGAGCAGAGAGCAACCCACAGAGAGAGAGAGAGAGCAGAGAACCCATGGACGGAGAGGGAGCGCGAGAGCAGAGAGAGAGTGAGAGCGAGAGCAGAGAGTGAGAGAGAGCAGATCGAAAGGGGAAAAAAACTAAGTGTAAAAAGCGTGGTTGCAAATGAGGGGGGTGGGGGTTTTATATAAGTTATGAAAGTGTGGTGTTAAAATTGATGTATTATTGATTGATTTATATTGATCTCTATTACAATGATTCATGATTCCTATATATAGAAGAGAGTGAGTGTGTAGTAGGTAAGGAGTAGGTGAAGTGGAGGTGGTAGTGGTGTAGTGGGTTAGGTTTAGTGGAGTAGGTGAGGTGGTAGTGGTGTAGTGGGTTAGGTTTAGTGGAGTAGGTTTAAGTGGGTGAAGTAGGTGGAGAGTAGGTGGATTTTAACATGTGGTTACGAACCACACTTTCCTTTAAAACCAGATTTTAGTTAAAAGCGTGGATGATAACCACGCTTTCTTTAGTCAACAGTAAAAGCGTGGTTACAAACCACGTTTTCAAAAAAAAACCAAATTTTATTTAAAAGCGTGGTTAAACCACGCTTTCTATGCAAAAACAAATTTCCTTAAACGCGTGGTTTGTAACCACGCTTTTTTAATTAAAAGTATGGTTTGTAATAGCGTTTCAGCTTACTTTGGGAATTCTGTCCAAACTAGGCCTAGTTTGGGAAATAGGTTGCTATTTTTGCTTATTTTGGGAAAACCCCCGACAATTGGAGCGTTAGTGTTGTGTCTCCGCATGAATGCATTCTAATTGATCCATCAAACATGCTGCTACACCCACAAAGCACTTGTAAAAATTGTTCTACAATAAGGACCATATGAAAGAAAGAATGGCCTCTAACTAAATTCATTTCCTACCTGCAGTACTAGTTGGACGATCCTCACATCTGTTGTCAAAGGTGTAGTGTATGTCATAAGTATATTGCTATTTGTATGTCCCTAGATTTGAATGCTTTCATTGATCTTCTCTCTCTTGGTTGTTTGATAGGCTATGGAAGATACTGAAAGACGAAATAAAAATGCCCATCTCAAATGCTTTCAGGTTGATTTATCATCTTTTCAGTCAATATTGAAGTTCAAAGGCTCCTTTCAGCAGTGGCTTATGGATTCAGATCTGCATTCTTCAGTCCAACTCCTAATAAACAACGCTGGGATACTGGCAACAACATTTAGACTCACTGCTGAAGGCTATGATCAGTAATAATTCAAATTATTTATCTATTTGCTTGTAAAATATATAGGCCTACATTTGCCACTTGAACAAAGTAATTATTTTATAAGCTTGGTGACAGCTTGATGACATAGGAAGGTCACATGATAGGAAACTGTAGGAGTTTTAGTGAGCTGTTAGGAGATGAAAGTTAATTTGCATAAAGTGAATTAAACTGGTGTAAGTTATTGGTAAAGTTGAGGACATGGCAGTTAGTCTAGTGATCCATGTAGCTATCCCTTGGGACAATGAGAAGGTCAGAGGTTCAGGTTTCAAGTCGATGGAATGACTGCGGCCCTTTCGTTGTAATCTTACTGACCCACTAACATCCTATCCTATCGTTTGCCAAAACAAAGTAATTGGTAAAGTTGGTTCCTCTAAAACTACACTAGCTGATTGAGTTACAGTTGATCCTCGTGGAATTTGTGTACATGATAATTTTGATGATGTGTTTGTTCCTAGATTTCTATCTTAAAAATATATGTCAATTCTATTCTTTATATGTTGTGTGTTTCCTTTGTGTCTACGTGGCAGAATGCAGGAGTCTTGGTTTTCTTCTATGTAATTAGAATTAAATTCAAATTGTGTTGCTCCCTTTGAAGTAAGGAAAAAAAAAAAAGGAAGTCTACATCAAGGTTCCTACGCTCCTAAAGAATACTTGGTTGCAACTTGCTTGCTGATGTTTCTCTTGCCTTTTCCAGGATGATGGGTACCAATTACATTGGTGCATTTTCTCTTACCAAAGTTCTATTACCACTTTTGGAAAACAGCCCCGTTCCTGCCCGGATTGTTAATGTCACATCCTTTACACATCGGAGTGGTGAGCATTTTCTAACCTTTCTGACTTTATGAGATACATTTGAAATACACATAAAAAGAGGCGATTTGATTTTCAACCACTAATTGTACAAAAAAAAAAAGTTCACTAGACTTAAAATATATAGCTTTGAGTTTGCTTTAATTGTCGAAATTTTTATCCCTGCTTGTGTGCATCTAGACTATGTAACATGGACACTAATGGTCACACATAAACGGTGCCTGACATGTCACCCAAAGAAAACATTAGTGGCATTGCTGTCAATGGTGATGTACTGATAATATGGTGTGTTAAACGGATTATACATGCTATAAAAGAGAAACCATTGCATCTTCTGCACATGGTGATTTGGTGTGTATGCACCACGGACCATATTATTATTTTCCTGCTAGTTGGTAGTTTTCAGTCAAGTGGGATATCATAATTTGTTTTTCATTAGGTTCTTTACAGAGTATTGGATATAAATATCGCATTATTTATTGTTTTTCTTCAGTGTCTGATATACAGGTAGACAAGGAAACTGTTTCTGGAAAGTCTTTCTTGAAATTCAAAAAATATCCATGTGCTCATATCTATGAGTATTCTAAATGTAAGTTACTTGTCATGTTGACATTGACTTGATAATTGTTTACTGCATTTCTAACTCTGTGTGTTTTCCTCTTGATAGTGTGCCTACTACTATTCTCGTATGAGCTTCATAGACATTATAAGCTTGGTGACAGCTTGATGGTATAGGAAGGTCACATGATAGGAAACTGTACGAGTTTTAGTGAGCTGTTAGGAGATGAAAGTTAATTTGCATAAGGTGAATTAAACTGGTGTAAGTTATTGGTAAAGTTGAGGACATGGAAGTTAGTCTACTGATCCATGTAGCTATCCCTTGGGACAATGAGAAGGTCAGAGGTTCAGGTTTCAAGTCGATGGAATGACTGCGGCCCTTTCGTTGTAATCTTACTGACCCACTAACATCCTATCCTATCGTTTGCCAAAACAAAGTAATTGGTAAAGTTGGTTCCTCTAAAACTACACTAGCTGGTTGAGTTACAGTTGATCCTTGTGGAATTTATGTACATGATAATTTTGATGATGTGTTTGTTCCTAGATTTCTATCTTAAAAATATATGTTAATTCTATTCTTTATATGTTGTGTGTTTCCTTTGTGTCTACGTGGCAGAATGCAGGAGTCTTGGTTTTCTTCTATGTAATTAGAATTAAATTCAAATTGTGTTGCTCCCTTTGAAGTAAGGGGAAAAAAAAAAAAAAGGAAGTCTACATCAAGGTTCCTACGCTCCTAAAGAATACTTGGTTGCAACTTGCTTGCTGATGTTTCTCTTGCCTTTTCCAGGATGATGGGTACCAATTACATTGAGAACAAAAAAGAATACTTTTTCTTCTGTTTGTAGCTTTTCCTAATCTTGGCAAACAATGAGATTTATTTTCTATTTCATTATAGACAAAAGTCAGTAACGTGTATTGAAATCCCTTCGGCAAAGAACTATTTCCTTCCTCCTGTTTTGAATCGAGTTGAATGACTGACAGCATGAATGTCCATATTAGCTGGTTTAATATGGAAATCTCTGAGGCTAAATTTCCAAGTTAAAGGTTGCCAATTCCTTCAGTGTCTTTTGGATTTTCTCAACTATGACTTGAAAATTTAGTCTCCCGCATAAATTCAACTAATCTGGATATTATTGTCTTTTGGGTCTTCTGCAATCGCCTGAAAATGGAGTCCGCTCTATTCTTGATGCAGCTCTCGCCCCTCCAGTGAGTTCTTTATTAGTTCACTAGACTTAAAATATATAACTTTGAGTTTGCTTTAATTGTCGAAATTTTTATCCCTGCTTGTGTGCATCTAGACTATGTAACATGGACACTAATGGTCACACATAAACGGTGCCTGACATGTCACCCAAAGAAAACATTAGTGGCATTGCTGTCAATGGTGATGTACTGATAATATGGTGTGTTCAATGGATTATACATGCTATAAAAGAGAAACCATTGCATCTTCTGCACATGGTGATTTGGTGTGTATTGTGGAAATTATATGATTAAGGCATAAAGGTGTTCTTTCTTGTTTCCACATGGCTGGAAAAGGTCATGGCCATGGCTTAAATTTCCAATCTTAGTCTCAATCATGCAATAATTTTGCACACTTGCATCTGTATCTTTATGATTCAAGGGGCTCTTGTTGCAGCTTCTTTTATGTTTTTGGTAGGAAGATGAAAATAGGGAAAAACAATGCTTCCCAACAGGAGAAAAACCGAGAAAGGATTGTGGCTGAGTCTCATCTCATTTTGGAATCAGAGTTTTGTTAAATGTCAATTTTTGGCAAGAAGTTTCTGCAGCAATTACATATTGAGGAAGGATTTGATGGCCTAGTTTGACAATTGCTTCCGTAGTGAAGGTTCGGGTTGCGAAGGGTTTCATTTTGGTGTTTAGAAATTCTGTAATTCTTGTACTAATTGTACCGTAAACACAAACTGATGCTGTTATAAGGGATGATGTGCTTCGTGCACGTAGAAGTTTCAGATTGACTCCTGGTGGTGGTTGGCGCTTGTCCTCATGCTCTCTTTAGTTACCACTTTGCTCAAAACTAATAACTAAGCCCAGAAACAAAAGGCTTGGTGGCAAGTTGGCAACCTAATCTACACTTCAAAAACCTAGGTAACCAAAATGCTATTGAATTTTAAGACTTAAGAAAACATATATAAAAATAAAACCGACAGCACACTATCCTATAAAATATAATTAGATTCAAATTAAACCTAAACCCCATTAGACAATTAATTTTTATTTGAGCTTCATAGGAGGTTCCTATATTGACTTCTATTTTTATCATTCTATGCGCAAGTCTTCCCTTCTGTTTTTTTATTTATTTATTATTATTATTATTTTTTTATAAGTAGAAATGTAGGTAGAACATTGTCCTTTGTCATTGTTCTACATCAAAAGTAATAGGGGAGGGAGAGAGATGGCATTGATGACATGGGGTTTGTTGAAACACCAATATTAGTCGTAGGACGGAGGACTAGAAAACCTAACATGTTAATTTGCCAACAAAATTTAACCAAAAGAACAAAAAAGAATACTTTTCTTCTGTTTGTAGCTTTTCCTAATCTTGGCAAACAATGAGATTTATTTTCTATTTCATTATAGACAAAAGTCAGTAAATTGTATTGAAATCCCTTCGGCAAAGAACTATTTCCTTCCTCCTGTTTTGAATCGAATTGAATGACTGACAGCATGAATGTCCATATTGGCTGGTTTAATATGGAAATCTCTGAGGCTAAATTTCCAAGTCAAAGGTTGCCGATTCCTTCAGTGTCTTTTGGATTTTCTCAACTATGACTTGAAAATTTAGTCTCCCGCATAAATTCAACTAATCTGGATATTATTGTCTTTTGGGTCTTCTGCAATCGCCTGAAAATGGAGTCCGCTCTATTCTTGATGCAGCTCTCGCCCCTCCAGTGAGTTCTTTATTCTGATCCATCGTGATTGCTTCTGCGGAAGTAACTATTGGTAAATATGTTTTTGCCACGTGATATCTTATGTTTATGTAATCTACTTCAAGAAGTAATTGGGATTACAGCTTGTTGGATCAAGTTAAAACTTAGACTTTCTCTGCCGTGCTAACCATTTTATGTTATTTTCCAGCACAGAGAATTTCTGTGTTCGAGTATGATAGAAAAAAGAGTTGACAAAAATTTGATTCTAATTCAGCTTACCATTGCATTGATCTATACAATTTATACTGTTTACCATCTAGTTACAAAACTAATCTAACTCTAGTTAATCCTAATCATTCTGAGTTATATCTAACTAACTGAGTTACATCTCTAACAAACCAAGAAAAGTTACAACAAACATCAAGCCTTGATCCCTTCACACGTGTCTTAAGTTTGAGCTGCATTTGTTGAACTGATGAGTTGATGCTTGAGTGTGAGCTGCACTTGAAGCCATAGCATGAGCCGCAGCCTTGCTATTCTCTGTATTCTCATCAAGAGTCCATTTATTAAATAGGCTTATGACATTGGTGGAGGATGATACTAATGAGTCCATATTACCTTGGGAGTACTATTTTATTTGTATTTTGTGTTTTTTATAACCCAGGACAGGACCCCCTTTCAAGTTAATTATACACATGGGACCCCCACCTAGTTGGATGACACCCAAACCTGGCAGTAATGAGATGCACCACTCCTCATCACCGGGTGAAAAGCAAGAGCCTTTGGCTTTGCCAAGAGTTGTATCAAAGGCCTAGAGGTTAGAACCCACCTCGAAGTGTTTGATTAATTAGAATTGTATTACAGATATTTTCTAACTGTACTCTTATAAGAAAATGCTGCTGATTTTAATACCTTAAACCAAACCCAACCCAACCCAAATCTAATCTAATAGAATTTGCATGGATCGAGGAATGACCGACTAGATTTGTACATGAGCTAAAGTTTGAAAAATGAATATTTTTGGATTGGGGCTTGATGAGAGGTCCACAAAGTTATTTCTTCTTGCATATCAATGGAAATTTGGAATCATTTGCTGCAGCAGTTCTTGAATTATACTGAGTGTTGATATGTTCATCTCTGGAATGTGAAAGTGTTTTTTTTTTTTTTAATTTTTAATATAAGTCAATTGATGGGAATTAAGCTCGTAACTTTGTTGATTTCAGGAGATATCAGGAGTTTACTTTTTTGGAGGAAACGGTAGGACCGTCAATTCTTCTGCACTTTCTTACGACACAAAACTTGCGAAGGAACTTTGGGATACATCTTGTGATCTATTCCTAGAATTGCAGCTGGGCCTTCAAGGACACTTCCTTTTGAATATTTGTATATTGTAGGGCTTACCAAAAAGAAAAGAAGAAGAAAAACAACACATAATTTAGTGATTAATTGTCTTCATATAGTTCAAAAGTTGGTGGTGGAAGCTTGCTTGAAGCAAGTATCTGTTCCTTGTGATAGACTTGTTCTATTGAGTACCTTAGATTGGTTGACTGCAATATTTCCTTACAAAAGTAGAAACTTTCTGTTCAAATAAATTTGTTTTCTATTTGCTAAATAAAATATTTTTCGTTATGTTTTTCGTCATATCAAACTTCCAAACTTTCAAAAATGCAATAAACTCTTTTTATATATATATATATATATATATTATTTTTAGGGGGACAAGTGTGCGTTATTTGTTGTTTAATTTTTATTCTTATTTTTTGGGATTGTAGAGCACTAGCTTGTGTATATTATTTGCTGTTTAATTTTTTGTAGCGTCCCCAAATAATTAACATATAAAAATCCTGATTTAATCATTTTCAGTTAAATAATCATGAAACTCCTAACATCATTATACTAGTAAAATCTTTAAACTTGTATCTCCATTATCAACCTTGAGAGTAAAAGTGGGAGAGCCTTGCCATTATTCTATTCTCAAGCCATTTTGCCTTCTTCTTCACCCAATCTCTTATCTCCATCATCTTCTTTCTTTTGTGTTCTTGAGTTGAGACCATTGAAGAATCTAAGCCTCTCATCATATTCTAGAGAATTCGAAGTTGTTCTTCAAGGATCTTCGAAGATCATCGAATTTTCCAACTCCTTTCTTGAACCCTCTCCTACATTTTGGCGACTCCGCTGGGGAGACGGATTGGTTAATGGTCTCAACGAGATCTGGAATCCACACAACTCCAACAAGGATGGCGGGAGAAGATGAAGTTCACCAACAAGGATCCTCTAATGGTGGTGATGACAGAACCATGGCTCCAGATCAACCACTCTTGCTTGAAGCCATTCAAGGACTTCAAAATACTCAGCAAGAGATTCTTACCACTCTTCAGAATCTCACTCACACCATGTTGGTGATGAGTTCTAACTTTGCACCGGCACCAAACGGAAATCAAACTGGTGGTGGAGTTATTCCCGCCGGAGCGCAAAATCAAATCCAAGGAGAAGTAGGCCCCAATCAGCCTATGGCTCATGGCAACACGGCCACAGTAACACATGCTCAAACCACAGTAGGCGGCAGCAGTTTGCCCATGCCCGGTCTCCATGGCGTGCCAAGCCAAGATCCAATGGTGACTAGGGGAGTTTCTGGTGTAATGAATGGCGTTCTGGCGACTGTTGGTGTCCAGGAAAACATAAAGAGCATGATGGCGCAAAAGGGAGCTCTGCCCGTACCTAATCTTGTTACGCCACCAATAAATGTTACTCAAGCACCAAGCGGGCCTTCTTTGGTACCGACAACAAATCTGCAAGCACAACCCGGTATAGCGGCGCCGTGCGGTGGACTTTACGGGCCTCAATTCAATATCCCATCACCAACTGGCTTATCTATAGGCGCTGATGGCCAGTATCGTCAAATGTCCTCACCAATGATGAATTCGCAGCACCAGAATGGCCAAGACGCCCCTAGCTCAGTCTTCGGGTACATAAGCCAAGTCCCGGGAATACCACCATCAAACTCTCTCCCTCAACAGTTTCTCACTCTCGCCGATGTGCAGGCCATGTTCGATCTCGAACGGGCAAGAGGACCTTACCCTCTTTACCTGATCCAGACGTCAAGCCGCCTTACCCCATTGAGATGCTAAGCTATCCATACCCTGAGGGGTATACAGTGCCGAAGTTCATCAAGTTCGACGGCAAACAAGGAAATGCCCGAGAAGTTGATATGTTCATCTCTGGAATGTGAAAGTGTTTTTTTTTTTTTTAATTTTTAATATAAGTCAATTGATGGGAATTAAGCTCGTAACTTTGTTGATTTCAGGAGATATCAGGAGTTTACTTTTTTGGAGGAAATGGTAGGACCGTCAATTCTTCTGCACTTTCTTACGACACGAAACTTGCGAAGGAACTTTGGGATACATCTTGTGATCTATTCCTAGAATTGCAGCTGGGCCTTCAAGGACACTTCCTTTTGAATATTTGTATATTGTAGGGCTTACCCAAAAGAAAAGAAGAAGAAAAACAACACATAATTTAGTGAGTAATTGTCTTCATATAGTTCAAAAGTTGGTGGTGGAAGCTTGCTTGAAGCAAGTATCTGTTCCTTGTGATAGACTTGTTCTATTGAGTACCTTAGATTGGTTGACTGCAATATTTCCTTACAAAAGTAGAAACTTTCTGTTCAAATAAATTTGTTTTCTATTTGCTAAATAAAATATTTTTCGTTATGTTTTTCGTCATATCAAACTTCCAAACTTTCAAAAATGCAATAAACTCTTTTTATATATATATATATATATATGACAAGTATGCATTATTTGTTGTTTAATTTTTATTCTTATTTTTTGGGATTGTAGAGCACTAGCTGGTGTATATTACTTGCTGTTTAATTTTTTATAGCGTCCCCAAATAATTAACATATAAAAATCCTGATTTAATCATTTTCGGTTAAATAATCATGAAACTCCTAACATCATTATACTAGTAAAATCTTTAAACTTGTATTTCTTGATATATGAGAGATGTAAAAAAGGTGTCTACATACAATACATATTCAATGTTCTCTAAGGTATAAATCTATAGCATGTGAGACAAATAGAAGTAAAGAACAAATTACAAAATAAAGTCTCATGTGTTACAAGTTCCAAGGCTTAAGTGTAACGCCTCAAAGAAATAACACAATATAGACTCAATAACTTCCAATTACATTATCTTGTTTCCAAATCAATAACTTCCATTGCTTAATGTATACGGAAAATAAAGCCTTAATTTTGACAACATTATCAAGTCTCCAACATTTGTATTCATTAAACTCAAGAGATTTACAAAAAAATATTCCACATGCGGTTATACATTCAACATCCCTAGAATATGAATCTATAGTATGTGGGACAATATGTCAAGTACAATTCAATGTCCTCAAGGGCTACAATTTCCAAGGCTTATGCCAATTACACAAAATAAATGCTTTTCAAATCCATACATGTAAAGCTCTTGGCTTGTCCAAATAATTACAACAAAAGGAAAAGAGCCTTGTGCTCTCAAAATATATTCAACACCTTTAACTCAGCAGGATCACTACATCTTTTTTTGCACAAAATCCCATAAGGTGAGTACAAAGCCAAGTAGGATGATCTTAACAAAGTATATACATTTTATACAGTCTCCTAAGATGAATGCATATACCATGTCATGCTCAAAAATATATATCTCTATCGTTTGAAACTTTTATGCACAATGTAATTTGAAGATACAATAATTCAATAACATCAATGTAGTTCAAGGGGTGGTAAATACTGTTAATCATATTGTTTAATTTTAATGATATCTAAAATATTATTTGCAAAAATTTTGATTTTTTAATATACATATTATTTGACACAAAATATTATCTGTTTAAAATATATATTGTATGATACATTTGTGAAATATTATTTAAATAAATATATTTTTTTACTATTCGCTTTTTGAAAAATTAGGTTGATCACTATTCATCTTTTGACAAATTTAAAATTGATTAGTTGTATCATTTTGATAAATGTGATTTTAGTGAGCTGTCATCTTTTGACAAATTTAATATATTCACATGGGATAGTTGATATATAAGTATGGGGGTGCGGACGGTGCCATGTGATGCACTTTTTACATACATATATATATTGATATAATAAAAAGTATTCAAGTTTGAATTTGTGTGGTGCATCCGTAATAAATAAATATATATATACATAGTCGAAATATTGAAATTGATATACTATAATGATTGCAGGAAAAGACTTATTTAATTTTTTATTGTAAACAAATCCTTGAAGATGTTTTGCCTGCAGAACGAAAAAGAAAAAATTGTAAGTTGGTTTAAAGTTGCTTGCAAAAAGAAAAAGAAAAAGTTACAAAATAGACACAATTTTCATGTGGCTTTTGACTTCAAAGAACCCATAATGATTGAGCAAAATCATTTGCTTATTTGAATTCAAAGATGTGATAATTGTATTATATTTTTCAATTTGTCTTCAAACGGTGGCTCCATGTTTGAAAAAAAAAAAAAAAAAACTTTTATCATTTTTTCAAACATTATCATTTACTGTCTATTTGAATCAAGGAGCATGCCCATGTAATCCATGACGTCATCAAGGAGCGTCCTACTTCTAACGGGTATATTTTTTGTTATAAATAGAAGTGTTGTGTGTAGAGAAAAATCAAGAACTTGAAAAGAAAAATTTCTGTGCTCCAAAATTTTGAGTATATTGTATTCTGCTCTTTCACTTTCATATCTAAGTGTAGCCTTTGTTCTTACACTTTTATATCTACTCTTTGTGAGAGAACTATTGTAAAAGAGGGTTTAAGTACCACTTATTTTTATTTATTATTTTTGTGAGAGATTTTGTAAGGGTAAGGCATTTATTGTTGAGTGAGACTCAATAAATAAGAGTAAGTCCTGTGCAAAATCCACAAGCTTAGTGAAGACTTGGTGGTGTATTAATTCATTTTAATAGTAAAGAAATTCTCAAGGAAGTCCCTTAGGGAGTGGACATAGGTCTGACGTGCCAAACCACTATAAATCTCAGTATTTGATTTTCTCTCTCTATCTCTCTTATTTTTCATATTGATAATTATTATTCTATTTTTTATTTGTTAAAATTTTAAATATTGTGTTATAAATTTTAATATTGTAAATTTTTTTAAATAACCCAATTCACATCCCCCTCTTAGGTTGCCTACCTGGGATAACAAATACAACTTAGGTAATCCCTATGTTGGTGTCTGTAAGTAGGCATAACAAGCACTACCAATCCTCACTATACCAATTGCTAACCGGAAGGCACGTGGTACCTCCTCCGATCATGTTTTGGTTCTTTCACCATGGACACTCAGGTCAACTTAACCAATACCAACTACACCCCCTATTCAGACTTACCAATGTATTTATCCAAAACAAATCAAAATGATCTTATTTCACAAAACAATTCATTTCTCAAAGAAATAATCTTTCATTGCAAGATTCAAAACCAACTGCAACAATGATTAAATGGAATGGCAATGCAAGACTTAATAATGCATTAATATAGTTTCATTTTCAATTTTCATCACATAATTTCCCGTTGT